GCTACTTGCCAGGCTGAGGTGGGAGGACTCCTTGAGTCTCCCCACTGTTGAGGCTGGAGTGAGCCATGATCGCACCACTGCACTGCAGCCTGAGCAACGGACCTAGACTGTTTTAAAAAAAATGCACTTGGAACCCCATGCCACACTATATTCAAAATCAACTAAAATGGAACATAGATCTACATGTAAAATTACAAGATTCTTAGAAGAAATCATTGAGGTACAGAATGAGAGAAGTTTTCACAAATAATAGATCCAATAAGGAACTTGCATCTAATATAAAGAATTATTACAACTCAACAATAAGGAGAAATAACCCAATTAAAAAATGGGCAAGGATCTGAGAGACATTTCCCCTAAGAAGACATGCAAATGGCCAAAATGCACGTGAGAAAATGCTTGACATCATTAGTTATCCAGGAAATGTAAATCAAAACCACAAGGAGGAAACGCTTCATATCCACTTAGAATGGCTATAATTAAAAAGACAAGTAAGTTTTGGTGAGGATGTGGAGAAACTGGAACCCTCATCCATGGCTAATGGGAATGTAAAATGACACAGCCACTTTGTGCCACAGTCTGGCAGTTCCTTAAATGCTTAAACATAGTTACCATATGATATCTAGAAACTCCAAAGCTAAGTATATACCCAAGAGAAATGAAAACATATGCCCATATAAAAACTTGTACTTGGCCCGGCATTGTGGCTCATGCCTTTAATCCTAGCACTTTGGGAAACTGAGGTGGGCAGATCACTTGAGGTCAAGAGTTCAAGACCAGCCTGGCCAAGATGGTGAAATCCCAGCTCTACTAAAAATACGTAAATTAGCTGGCACACACCTGTTGTCCCAGCTACTCGGGAGGCTGAGGCAGGAGAAATGCCTGAACTCAGGAAGCAGAGGTTGCAGTGAGCCTAGATGGTGCTGCTGTACTCCAGCCTGGGTGACACACTGAAACTGTATCAATCATTCAATCAATCACCTGTAAATTAGGCCAGATGTGGTGGCTAATGCCTATAATCCCAGAACATTGGGAGCCCAAGGCAGGTGGATCACTTGAGCCCAGGAGTTTGAGACCAGCTTGGTTAACATGGCAAGATCCCATCTCTACAGCATAGTTTTCAAAAATTAGCTGGGCATGGTGGTGCATGCCTGTAGTCCCAGACACTCAGGAGGCTGAGGCAGGAGGATCACTTGAACCCAGATCAAGGCTACAGTAAGCCATCATCCCTCGACTGAACAGCAACCTGGGCAACAGAGCAAGACCCTGTCTCAAAAAGGAAAAAAAAAAAAGTTAGAAGGATCTTGAATCAATTCCTATGACAGCAGAAAAAAAATATCAACTTGATTTTCCAGCCCAAGCATCTAAGATGTGGCTCTACCCAAGAAATCTGGTCTTCAGAGAGTTCTTTAGGGAGGAGAGTCTCAGCAAATATGAAAGACTGAGTGGACATGAAGCTTTAGGCGTTCTAGGCGGACAACTTTCAATCTGAAACATACAAGTATGGTCAGTGTGTGGTAAGCACGGGGACTTCCTGTGAAAAAAAGCCAAGCACTGGAGTTGCACAGTAAGCCTAGTCCTGAGATGCAGGGTAAATGTAAGCAAGGCCTTCCTTCATCTTTTCTCCAGTGCCTAGGACAGGGCTGGAGACAAAGCAGGTGCTCAAAACGTGTCTGCCCAATGGAAACGATAAACACTACCGTCAGTGAACTGACACGTGTCCACACTAGCTAACCGGACTGCAAGGAAACTCACAGTGATGAGACACTCACATTACAGGAGAGGTGCTTCACTCCGGCTCTGCCCAAGAATCACCTGCCAAGTCACTACAGGTGACTATGGGTCCTGGCCGCTGTGTTTCCAAAACTTTGCTGGTGTAATATGCAGAGTATAGAGCCCCTAGGCTGTGAAGTAAGAAACTAGTTACTGTTTCTCAGTAACCAAATTCTGGAAACATCTGTGAGAGAGAAACACAGAGAGAGGCAGAGAGAGGACAGAAAACCTGGTAGAAGAACTTGGATACTTTATTGAACTCAATCTGGATTATTAAATCAAAAACTAGGACACAATACAATATAAACAAAACTTTATCAAATTAAGAGGCAATATACACCACAGCAATAAGATACTCATTATTCTTCAGTAACAGGAAGTATTGCAACCTCAAGCCTGGCACTCAATTTCAGCAATTCCAATCTGATAGATCATTCAGGGCATCTTCCATTAAGTCTTCCCTGTTCTCTCTGATCAATAACGACCTCTGGCTCCCCTTCCCTGACAGCCCACAGCGTCATGCTCTTCATCAACTTATGATGGCCGATTTAGGACTTCGTTAGGAAGCTTTGTGGGTATTTTTTATTTATATGATACAGAGTCACTCTGTCATCCAGGCTGGAGTGCAGTGGTGTGATCTCAGCTCACGGCAACCTCTGCCTCCCGGGTTCAAGCAATTCTCCTGCTCAGCCTCCTGAGTAGCTGGGATTATAGGCCGCCACCAAGCCCAGCTAAGGTTCCAATTTTTAGTACAGGTAGGGTTTCACATGTTGACAAGGCTGGTCTGGAGCTCCTGACCTCAAGTGACCTGCCTGCCTCAGCCTCCCAAAGTTCTGGGATTACAGGCATGAGCCACTGCACCGGGCCGGCTTTGTATGTTAGTTCCACAAATGACACATGGGAAGCTGTGTAGCCTTGTGGTTAACAGGGCAGGCTTTGGAGCCAGATGACTCGGATTTAAAACCTACTTCCATCATTTACTAGCTGTGTATCCTCAGGACAGTTAATTACCCCCTCTGTGTCTCAGTTGCCTCACTTGTATCATGGGAATAATTTAGCAGCGTTGTGCTATAAATTCAGATAATCCAGGCTGGGCACAGTGTCTCATGCCTGTAATCCCAGCACTTTAAGAGGCTGAGGCAGGGGGATCATCTGAGGTCAGGAGTTCGAGACCAATCTGGCCAACACGGTGAAACCCCGTTTCTACTAAAAATACAAAAATTAGCAGGGTGTGGTGGCAGGCACCTGTAATCCTAGATACTCAGGAGGGTGAGGCAGGAGAATCACTTGAACCCAGGAGAAGGAGGTTACAGTGAGCCGAGATCACGCCACTGTACTCCAGCCTGGGCAAAAGAGTGAGACTCTGTCTCAAAAAAAAAAAATCAGATAACCATTCAATCACTAGCAGTATTTGCCATGTCTCCACTAAATTTCTCAACGTCCTAGAAAACACAGCACAATCTAACAGGAGCTCTTCACTGCTTCCCACAGCGCCACACCACTCTTCTCTCAAGGAACAGCAGCACTGCCCTCCCAGGGCTCAAGTCAACCCCGGCATCACCCTGGACTCCTCCCTTCACATTACCCTGCCACGGCCACTCCATCACTGGACCTGCATGTTCTCCCTCTGGATATACAGTCACGTCTGTCTAGTGTCATCACCCCACTGCCCTCTCTTGAGCAAGCCTGTCACTTCTCCTCTGACAGATATGCTATTGTAGCCACAAGCCTTGCCTCCCTGCCTGCACTCTGACCACCACCGCTTTCACTTTCCAGAGCAGTGGAGTAAGGTCTTAACACAGCAGCATAATCACCTCACCTTCCTATTTGCTTTCCTGCCATCCAGTAGCATGGTAGTGGGGAGCTGGCCTGGCTACGCAGAGGAGGGTAACACCCAGGGGATGAGGGGAAGGAATTCACATCCCTGCATATCCCTTGATCTCGGTGCCACCAGCCCTACGCCTAGATTTAGTGACCCTGGGTTCCACCCCATTGGACTGCTCACCTTTGTGCTGTTCTGTGCAGGAGAATCAAAATTCCATCTGATTAGGGCCAGCGTGGTTTGAAGGCTCTTGGTTACAACAGCACCCTAACCTGCTATATTACTGTATTATACTATTACTATACATTACTGTACCACTATTACTATATTCCTGGGGTAACCTGCATCCTAGTAAGATAACAATTGGTATCTGGAGGGGGGATGCAACTGTGACAGAAACCTAAGTGGCACTGGCTTCACAGGCAGGCAGTGAGTGGTGGGGAAACAGACGGTGCAGGGTAAAAGCTCTCCCTATCCATCTAAAAACAATGCTACCCGCATTAACTGGGAAGACGGATCCTGCACTTACCAAGCCTGTGTAACTGTCGAAGAAAAAAAAAAAGCAAATATTCGGTATGTTGGCTGCTCACTGCTACCCTTAGAAAGGAACTTTGAAATAAATGAGGTTAAGAACTAGCAATTTGCAAGCAGAGTGAAAGATAAGATACAGTAATGCCAAGCGGCTGTCTTCCTGCTCCAATCCTGCAGGACTTCTTCCAGTTCCCCTGAGACACTAAGCTCCTTTCTCCAACACTGGTTTTTTTGCCAGCTCCCACCCTGCCTACCCCTGGTCATCCTTCAAGGCTCACACACACCTGACTTACCCTCCCACCCTGGATCCTGTGCCGGTCCCCCCATTACCATCTTATCTTACCCTCTTCTCATCAATTAATGGACTCAACGAAAGCAGCACTAATACGCTCAATGCCCGGTAATTTTCTGCGCTGTTCGCTGCCCCCGTCCCCGTCCCCCAACACCCAGCCCCGGGCCTGGCACGTGGTAGGCGCTCAGTGAACGAGACTCAGGAACAGTATAAAGTGTAGACGGCAGAAGAAGACATGACCCGGACACCAGGCACGTGAGTTCATGCAAAGTGTCCCGGCCCACGTTTTGCGGAGCCTGGGTCGGGAGCCCCAGTGGGCGCGCGGGTCAGGAATATGCCCGGTTCCGCGAGTCCGCGCAGGCGCGAAACCGGGAGGGCGGTGTCAAACCACTCCCGAAGGGGCCACGCCCACTCGCGCACGCCCTCCCAGGCAGGTGCGCGCGCGCGAGGGGCTTCGGCCGGGCCTTCTCACAGGGAGGGTCACGCCGGGAAACAGGAGGCGCGGTGGGAGCCCGCCCAGGGGCCATCCGTCCTTCCGTCCCTCACGCCCAGGCCCCGGGGGCTCACCACGTCCCCCAGAACCTGCAGCTCCTCCGCCCTCCGCCGTCGCCAGCGGCCGAGCACCAGGCTCTCCATGCAGCCCCAGGCTCAAGCCCGCCCGGCCTCTCAAGCCCGCCAGTGGCCCGCACGCCACGCCCCCTTCCGCACGAGGCCCTAGGGAGCCAATGGGGAGACGGAGGGGCGGGGCGCCACTGGAAGCGCGAGAGCGCCTAGGCGAGGACCTCAGGCAGGAGTAGCAGAGACCAGAGTCTTCTGGGGCTATTGGGATGGTGTGGGCGTTGTCCGCCTGCCCCAAGTCATTGCTTCACAGAGAGGCCGGCTTGTCGCGTCTCCGTTCACAGGACCAGCCGTGGGGCTCCGAAGAAATCATTCTTTCAGGAACCCGCCAAGCTTTGACAATAACGCTTGAGCGAGACAGCGGGTGTTTCTGGGAGTTGTGGGCCTCAGGGCCGCCTCGCTTCCGGTGAGAGAGGCGGGCGCCGCGGTGGGAAGGCGCCGAGCGTTCCGGCCAGCCCCCGCGGCGCGCAGCTGTTGTGTCTGGTGGCTGCTCGGTGGGAGGCCCCGGAAGCACTTTGCTTCTCGGCTGCCTGGAGGGCACTGTGAGGTCGCAGGCGCTGAGCTGCCGGGGCCTTTGGGCAGGACCGAAGGAGGAAAGCGCAGCCACGGTCGCTCCGCCCGGCCGCTGCCGGGGATCCAGCCAGCCCTCCACCGCCAGCGGCCGTTCTGTCTCCGGCCCGGCGCGGCGCTGAGCCCTCATCTTAGGGCACGGAGGCCTGGACTCCTGCAGCCGCTTGTGCAGGGTCCTCCTGCCGTAGCATGGAGCTCCCCAGGCCGGCGCCTTTTTTGGATGAATGAAAACGGGGCCAGTCCGTTGCCAGCGATTGGCTGGCAGTGGGCATATGACCCAGTACGGGCCAGGGAGAAGTAAGCGAGATCCGGTGACGCGGAGTTCTGGGAACGATTTTTCTTCTAGTTAAAAAGGGAGGCGAACGGGTGAGGGCTGTCTTCCTCCGTTGTCGTTGCCCACTGTAAGTTTCCCGGAGCTGCGGCAGCCCTTTTGTCACCGTGAGGGCAGCTGGTGGGAACCCTAGGAAAGCACCTAGAGCCGGAACAGCCGGAGCCTCCGAACCAGCCCACACGTGACTGCCGGCCTCCAGGTCACGTGTCGTGGCTCTGTGATGGAGTCGCTGTGAGTTTACCGTCATTCCGCAGTTGAAGCATCCTTCGCACAAAGCCCTCTACGGTGAAATGCATGACTCCCCCCTCGGGCCACTTGCCACATGGTCTTCAGCCAGTGACGTAGTTAATCTCACTCCGTTTCCTCGTTTATAAAGGACAGGATTGTAAAGTGTAGGGATGGTGAGGATTACATGAGGCATTTACCTGCAACATGCTTACAACAATGCTGAACACAAACGAAGTACTCCACAAATGTTGTATTTCTCCTACTAGTACTGCTAGGACTAATTATTGCCACCACTGAGTCACAGTCCCTTATCAAAAACCTTTCAGGCCAAATGTGTTTGTGGAATTAAGAACGTTTTGAATGCTAAAAAAAAGGTGAGCTATATTGTGTACTCCGGTCGTCAAACAATATTTCTGTAGCAGAAATTTGTGAGTATTCACAAATATTCACCCTAAGTGGGATATATAAAGGTTGTAAATAGGGCCAGGCACAGTGCCTGTAATACCAGTACTTTGAGAGTCCAGAGCGGGAGGATTGCTTGAACCTAGGACTTTGAGACCAGCCCAGGACACACTGTGAGACCCCCGTCTCTACAGAGTAAAAATACAAAAAATTAGCCGGCACTGTGGCGCCCACCTGTAGTCCCAGCTACTCAGAAGGCTGAGGTGGGGAAGATTGCCTGGGCCTGGAAGGTTGAGGCTGCATCAAGCTGTATCACACCACTGCACTCCAGCCTGGGCAGTAGAGCGAGACCCTGTCTGAAATAAAATAAATCATAAAGGTTGTAAATAGTCTCATATCAGTTCAAATGAGTTGACTCCAAAGGTGGGGAAAAAATAATGATTTGGAGGACTCTGCATTTCCGAATTGAAAATAAGGTACTGTTGTGGGTCTAAAAACGTTTTTCTTGCGGTTTAGTTGACTTTTTTGGTCACCCATTTTTTTTTTTTTTTTTTTGAGACGGAGTTTTTGCTCTTGTTAACGAGGCTGGAGTGCAATGGCGCGATCTCGGCTCACAGCAACCTCCGCCTCCCGGGTCCAGGCAATTCTCCTGCCTCAGCCTCTCGAGTAGCTGGGATTACAGGCACGCGCCACCATGCCCAGCTAATTTTTTTTTGTATTTTTAGTAGAGACGGGGTTTCACCATGTTGACCAGGATGGTCTCAATCTCTTGACCTCGTGATCCACCCGCCTCGGCCTCCCAAAGTGCTGGGATTACAGGCCACTTCTGGCTTGTCACCCATTTTTTAAATCACTGGCCTTTATACTTGTGGCTGCTTTTCAAATGTGTCAAAAAACAAAATTTCAACACATTTCGTTTCAAGGATCTGATTGCATGCACCAGGCAGCAGACAAGACAGAAAAGTGCTCCAGTGAGGGCAGAGTGGCTGAGTTTGACCAGCAGAGAAACGGGGAGGAAAGCAGGAAGGATGTACAAATAGCACATCAGTCATTTCAGATTACTTTCCTTATAGGGGTGTAAAGGAAAGCGTGGCTTACTTAGTTTTCTTTTCCCTCCCGATTTCTCAGAAGATCAGATCTTACAAGTCAGCAACCCAGGTTTCACTTTGGTGGCATGGATCCTTAGCATTCGTGACTCCAGTTTCGGTTTTGGCCTGCTGTGTTTCTTAAATGGATGCATGAGACAAGCATTTGGTAATGCAGAGAGGCTACTTAGCCCGGGAACGGGATACAGCAGTAGGTATATTTAGGAGGATGCGGTTTAGCTTAGCACAGATTACCCAGCATCAGTCACATGGGTACTACTAACTGCAAAATGTACACCAAATCTCTCCTATTATTTACATAGCATATGTATTTAAGTTCTCAATAGCTTAAGGTTGAAAACCTTTAAAAATGATATGTAACATCTATAAAATGATGGTTTGAATGCTCATTATTTTAATATGTTAAATAGGTTAATTATTAGAAGGAAATATGGGAGGCCAGGCACAGTGACTCATGCCTGTAATCCCAGCACTTTGGAAGGCCAAGATGGGTGGATTGTCTAAAGCCAGTAATTCGAGACCAGTTGGCCAACAAGGCAAAACCCTGTCTCTACTAAAAATGCAAAAATTAGCCAGGCATGGTGGCACGTGCCTATAATCCTAGCTTTTTGGGAGACTGAAGCATGAGAATTGCTTGAACCGCAGAGGCATAGGTTGCAGTGAGTCAAGATCATGCCACTGCACTCCAGCCTGGGCGACAAAACAAAACTCTGTCTCAAAATTAAAAAAATAAAATATGGGAAAACTTCATGATATTGGATTCTTGCATATCACATCAAAAGCACAGTCAACAAAAGGAAAAAATAATTTGGACTATATCAAAATTTAAAATTTTATACATCAAAAGACACTAGTAATCCAGTGAAAAAGCAAGCCATGAAATAGAGAAAGTTGGAAGTCAAGACAGGTGGATCACCTGAGGTCAGGAGTTCAAAACCAGCCTGACCAACATGGTGAAACCCGAACTTTTTTTTTTTTTTTTTTTGAGACAGAGTTTCACTCTTGTTACCCAGGCTGGAGTGCAATGGCGCGATCTCAGCTCACTGCACCCTCTGCCTCCTGGGTCCAAGCAATTCTCCTGCCTCAGCCTCCCGAGTAGCTGGGACTACAGGCGCACACCACCATGCCCAGCTAATTTTTGTATTTTTAGTAGAGGCAGGGTTTCACCATGTTGACCAGGATGGCCTCCATCTCTTGACCTCGTGATCCACCCGCCTCGGTCTCCCAAAGTGCTGGGAGTATAGGTGTGAGCCACTGCACCCAGCCCGAAACCCCGACTTAAAAAAAAAAAAATAGAGAAAATATTTTCAAATCACATATCTGATAAGGAGTTAATATCCAGATTGTATAAAGAATGCCTACAACTCAACAACAACAAAAAACCTGATTGAAAAGTAGACAAATACCAGCATGAGCAAGACAGCAGGATCCTGTCTCTCCAAAAAGCAAAGAGTTAGCCTTGTGCTAGAGAGGCTGAGGTGGGAGGACCACTTGAGACCAGGAGTTTGAGGCTACAGTGAACCATGATCTCGCCACTATACTCTATCCTAAGTGACAGAGTAAGACTATGTCTCAAAAAAGAAACAAAACAGAAAAATAGACAAACAGACGTTTCTCAAAAGAAGATATGCAAATGGCCAACAAGCACATGAAGATGATGTCATCAGTTATTAGGGAATGCTGGTCAAAACCATACTGAGATACCACTTCACACTCATTAGGATGGCAATTATCAAAAAGGAAAAAATCGGTGGTCGGGTGCTGTGACTCATGCCTGTAATCCCAGCACTTTGGGAGGCTAAGGCAGGCAGATCACTTGAGGCCAGGAATTCAAGACCTGGCCAACATGGTGAAATCCCATTTCTACTAAAAATACAAAAATCAGCCAGGTGTGGTGGTGAAGACCTCTAATCCCAGCTACTTAGGAGACTGAGGCAGGAGAATTGCTTGAACTCAAAGGAGGCGGAGGTTGCGGTAAGCTGAGATCACGCCACTCCATTCCAGCCTGGGCGACAGAGTGAGACTCTGTCTCAAAAAAAAGGTGGCTGGGCATGGTGGGTGGCTCATGCCTGAAATCTCAGTGCTTCATGGGGCCAAGTTGAGTACATCACTTGAGCCTAGGAGTTTGAGATGAGCCTGGGCAACATGACAAGACCTCATTAAAATACAAAAATTAACCAGGTATCGTGGTTCCTGCCTGTAGACCCACCTACTCAGGAGGCTTAGAGGTGGGCGGATTGCTTGAGCCTGGAAAGGTTGAGGCTGCAGTGAGCTGAAATTGTGCCACTGCATTCCTCCAGCCTGGGCAACAGATGAAAAAAAAAAAAATAGAATGACTGGAATTCTTGTGCATGGCTGCTGGGAATGTAAAATACTCTAGCCATTGTTGAAAACAGTGTGGTGTTTCTTCAAAAAATTAAAAATAAAATTACCATATAATCCAGCAATTCCACTTCTGGGAATATACACAGAATAACTGAAGGCAGGGACTCAAGCAGATATTTGCACACCTGTGTTCATAGCAGCCTTATTTCCAGTAGACAAAAGTCGGAAGCAACCCAAATGTTCATCAGTGGGTAGACAAAATGTGGTCACCGTGTGTGCTGGCTCACGCCTGTAATTCCAGCACTTTGAGAAGCCGAGGTGGCTGGATCAACATGGTGACACCCCATCTCTACTAAAAATACAAAAATTAGCCCAGTATGGCAGCATGCAACTGTAGTCCCAGCTACTCAGGAGGCTGAGGCAGGAGAATCGCTTGAACCTGGGAGGTGGAGGTTGCAGTGAGCCGAGATCACACCACTGAACTCCAGCCTAGGGGATAGAGAAGACTGTCTCAATAAATTAATTAATTAATTGAAAAAAGTAGTTTGTATGTGTATATATATAATATCCTACCATATAAAAATATGGTAGAACAATATGCAACCTTAAAAAGGAAGGGAATTGTGGCCCATTTTACAACATGGATGAACCTTGAAGACATAGTGCTAAGTGAGATAAGCCAATAACAGACAGTCCAAACTATGATTCCACTCATTTGAGCTGCCCAGAGTAGAGAAAGGTGTGGAGACAGAAAGCCGATTGGTGATTGTCGGGGCCTGGGAGGAGGAATGGGAAGGTGCTGTGAAGTGGGTCGAGTTTTCACTTGGGAAGATGAAAAAGTTCTGAAGATAAATGATGGCGATGTTTGCACAACGTTGTGAATTAACACTACTAAATCATACACCTAAATATAGTTAAAGTGGCAGACTTCATCTTATGTGTATTTTACCACAATACAAAATACATTAACTATTAAAATGAAAGTTGTTTGTCAGCCAGGGGCAGTGGCTCATGCCTGTAATCCCAGCACTTTGGAAGGCTGAGGAGGACAGATCGCTCTAGCCCAGGAGTTCAAGATCAGCATGGGCAACAAGGCAAAACCCCATCTCTAAAAATAAAAATTGTTTCTCATGGCTGGGCATGGTGACACACACCTGTAATCCCAGCAGTTCGAGAGGCATAGGTGGGCAGATCACTTGA